CTTCCCCCGCCACTCGTTTCCTCGCAACAGAAACGGCGTTAAAGTTATAAACGGCAAAACCAGCGTTGGATGGCTCGGTTAAGTTAACTCACCTCGATGAAGGGAGGTTATAATTATTGACGCGTGTTCCTATGGATCCAGGTCTCTAGGAGATAAGCAACAGGATGTCCACCACCGTGGAGTTATATCGTGGAGGAACGCGTTTATAATTATAACGCGATTCCGATAATTTCAAAAGGGAGAGCTATCCATTTCTCGCCGCTCTTCCTTCGAGGGGAAACGAGATACGCGTATTTCCAATGGTAACCTCTCTCTCGAAGTTTCGTCGTGAGAGTGGTGGTTTTATTTTTATTCTATCCGAGACTTATTTCGCCACCTTTCCACGCAGAAATGACGAGACGAGCGTTGAATAGAATCGAGTGACGGGCGCAACGTGGCTCGAAATTAACGTTGCCGCGATTATACCCTCGTTCCACCGCCGGTCAGGTAACGTCTGAAGTGCAATTAACGCGGCCCTCCGACACCAGTCAATATCGATGATTCGAGCGGCGTGTCTCGCGTATGCAATTTGGGTCGCTGATAGCCGCGGAATACCGGGTAAATGGGAACGGACCATTATCGGAGGATCATACGTCTTGCACCGGAAACGAATTAACGTCACGTTGGACCGCGTTACATTCGTCCTCGTCCGACGGGAAACCCCGGGAGGATCGAACAGGTTGGACAGAGGCAGAGACTCGGTCGGAGGAGAAGGGAGGATTTTCCGGATAGAAAATCGGAACGGGGATCGCCCCGGGTCATAGTCGAACATAGCCGAGCTGTCCCGCTTATTAAACGTTTTCCGCGTCGGAAACGTTACAACGGTTATATTTACGGCGTCTGCTTTCGATCGGTTTTTATCGCGAACGTGACCCGATTGATCGAGCCCGATGATTATCGTCCGATATTTGCCGATCGGTTTCGATTTTCGGTCTGCTCTGCTTTTTCTCGTCAACCGTGCCCGATCGTCCGTGAAATCGGATCCGATGAAATTATATATTTATAAGTTGTGTCTCAGAACGATTGGAGGGTAATCGTATATCTAAATACGGAAATAGAATATAGATGAAATTGACTAATTGGATACGAGTGAATTATATTATCGAAAAAAAAAAAAAGATACTTATCCTTCTTTTCTAATTTTCGCGTACCATCTTTCCACATTCGTGGATACGGAGGGACACGGAGGCTCGTTAGACGGACGGGAAAGATGGACAAGGGGGGGGGGGGAGGAGGGGGGAACGCGCGGTCTCTTTCGCTGATTGGGTTCGAAATTAAACGGGGCAGCTCCCATCGGCTTTAGATTCGCCGCTCGGGTTATCGCTTTCCAAAATTAGCCGCTCGATTGCAATCTCGCGCGCCGACCATCGCGAAAACGCAAAGATTCCCCGTGTTTCCATCGGTTCGCTCTAATTTTCGTGCTCGAAATTAGAGGTCGAATGAAACCGTAGTTGCAGAGCGTGTGTGTGTGTGTGTATGCATGCAACTCCTTGTATTAATCACGCAAAATTCCCTTACGCTCGTCTCGTATCCCCTGACAGGAATATTACTCCGTCACTCGCACCGACAAGTTCCGCGTATCGCGATGTCCCTCTCCTCGACAGGACTGAGAGACGGTAGTAGTTTGCGGTGGTGGAACGTCGACTCTCGTCTGACAGGGGAGCCGACAATACCCATCCGATGAAAGCCGATGCAAAACGCAACCCACCGAGGTCATATCGGCTTTCGCCGAGGTGGAGCGTTTTCACCCTCGGTACGCACCGAGCTCGCGACCCCGCGTTTAACGATTTAACCATTCGAGGCGGTCGCCAAAAATCAAAGAAAAAAAAAAAAAAAAAAAAACCCCGAGGGACCCCCGGGATTTTTTCTTTTCTTTTTTTTTTTTTTTTTTTTGCAAAAAAGAAAAGGGGAAAACAAAGGACAATGTTGTAAAATACAACGAGAGATTCGGACGAGATCGTATTTACCGATGCCAATTTTCGAAAAAGTGGAAAAATTTTTTTGAAAGGAGGAAAACTCGTTATGCCGCAATGCCGATTCGATATCGTACAAGAGATGAGAGATATCCAAGGTTATACACGCTTGATTGTCTTCTTTTTTTTTTTTTTTTT